CTCCGAAAATAGGAGACCCTAATATAGTACCCTAAATAGTAGGATCCTTACTTTAAGGACGCCAAAAACCCCCGTATGGGGCCTTAAAAAGGGTAGGTATTATTTTGGGACCCTAAGTATTAGGTGCCGTACTATATTAAGGATCCAAAAGGGACCCTAATTTTGACAACCGCCCACATTATGGGGCCTTAGACCCAGAGACTCCAATATCCCTTAATGAAGGAATATGCCGTAAGTTATAATAGGATCCCTAATATGATTTAAGGCATATTCCTTACCCTAAGGGTCCAGGTATCTCCTTAGGAGGGTCCGGAATCTCCTAGGGAGAGCCCTTGGGTCTCTTTGGGGTCTCAGAATTCCTACATTTTGAGGTTCCCTAAAGTATTAGGACCCTTAGGGTAATTAAGGGATATTGGAGTCTCTGGGGAAAGGGTAGGTTATTTGGGATCCAGGCAGACCCGGGCTTCGGGGCCTTGGGCTTTATACTGAGGGTTTAGGGGTTTAGGGTTTAGGGTTTAAGGTTTAGGGTTTATGGTTTAGGGTTTAGGGTTCAGGGTTTAGGGTTCAGGGTTTAGGGTTTAGGGTTTAGGGCTCAGGGTTTAGGGTTTAGGGTTTAGGGTTTAAGGTTTAGGGTTTAAGGTTTAGGGTTTAGGGTCTATAGTTGAGACTGTTTCAAGCAGTGCTCATGAGCGACCTTGATCAGATTTTTGGCAGGTTTGAATCAGAACTTTTGATAAGGGCTTTGTAAGGGAGGCTAGGGCCAGGGCCTGGTAACTTGATTGATCGACAGTGTGGGTGCCCGTGGCATTGGATCAAGCTCTTCTAGGTGGCAGATGTTGGTCAGGCTGTCAACTGAATTCTACCGCCCACTTGGAGGGTCGGGGGACTTAGTAACTGGTTATTTTAGGGACTTATAAGTACCATGACCCCAGTTAGGGTCCCTTTTAGGGTACTTATAAGTCTAGTTACTACCTACTTACTAAGTCTCCCGACCCTCCAAGCACATCACAAGCCTGGAGCCTAGAACCCTTGAGTCTTAAGTCTTCTGCCAGGAGGCTCAACGCCCAAACCAAAACCCTCGACTGCTGAACCCCTGAACCCCCACAACCTGAAAACCCTGAAGCCCTACACCCCCACAGCCCTCTAAACCCATAGCCCACTAAGTGTAGGCATTCTAATATCCCTGAACCTTAAATCATAAAAGGGGTCCTATTACACTTTCAGGGATGTATTCCTTAATTCACTAAACCCATAACCCATAAGCCTCAAGCCAAAGCCCTGAAGAGATAGAGGGCCCATGCCATGCGAGCTTGGAGGATGGGAGGAGCTTTCGGGCTTGGGGCTCATAGGGTTTTTAAGGGTTTAGGATAGAGTTTCGGGTTTAGAGACGTAGGGTTTTGGGGTTTAAGGTTTTAGGAAGCTTAGGGTTCAAGGATGTACATTCAGGGTTTCGGATCTTTGTTGAGGGTCTTGGGTCTTTGTTTGGGGTATACGGCCGTATGGGTTTAGGGTTTAGGATGTCGGGTTTAGGGTTTAGGAAGTAGGAAGCTTAGGGTTTAAGGTTAGGGTTCACGGCTTATAGGGTTTAGGGCCTGAGAACACAGGCTGTCAGTGTCGGGCTGGCATGTGCGTTCCTTTTTGCTTGGAGGGACCGGAGCCTTAGCCCTAAACCCTCCAGCTTAAACGCTACATGTGAGCCTCAAACCCTAAACCATAACCCTTCAACACACCCTACGCCTGAGCACTACATCCTAAGCCTTAAGCCCTTAACTAGAATCCTTCAACTTCAAACCCGAATCCCTACTTTCATCGCCGCGCATATGCTTTGGTCAAGCAACCTTTGAGGTTCCGGGTCTTGGGGTTTAACAAACAGTAGAAGCCCAACAGTTGGAAACCCAATAGCCTCAATCCTTAAGAGTAATGTATAGGGAATCCCAGCACTATTTGGCCTTAATCCGGTTTCCAACTTTATGGAGTTTACTGAAGGGGTCGGAATAATTCGCGGTGGTAATTATTTCTTTGTTGGTGCTTATGGCAGCTATGCTCTAAATATGCCCCCAAACGAAAAGCGTCTCAGGTTCCCAGGCCGCGCTAGGAAGCCTCATAGGAACCCAAAGCCCTGGAGACGAATCCCTTCGCCAGGACCTCCCTGCCGTTGCAACTGAGACTCCATGGAGAGGCCGGGCTCCCGGGCAACAAAGGTACTTCGGTTGATGATATAAATCCTGCATTACCTTAAGGACCCTTAACTATGAGAACTATGGGAACTATGGTATATTCCTGACAATGGGTAATGCAGGGTTTATATCATCAACCGTTGCACTGTAGAAACTTAAATATTTAGTAATCACTATACTTCCTTGAATTCAGGGATGGGGATCACGTGCTTCAGCCTGTGGTCGTTCAGAGTTTGACGGTTTAGGGTCTAGGCTTTAGGGTCTAGGAATGCAGGTTGTGGTTGTTTAGGGCTTGACGGGTTCGGCAACGTTGGGATAAGGGTTGGGGTGCCCTTTGCTATAACTGTAATGATGACAGGGAGCCCTAAGGAAACATTGTTAATTTTAACGCTACGCCGCCCGCCTCGGCTCTTTAGCGGCAGGGCGAGGGGGCAGCGGATGTCGTATACACCATGCTAGGGGGGCCTCTCAACCCCAACTTTTGAACGGGGGTGTGGGGGGGAGGGAGGAGGCCTACAAATCAGGCAAAATGAAGGGAAGTCGAGCAAGGGGGTGGCAAACGAACGCAAAAACAGTGTGTCTCCAAACTTTCGGAATGCATCCCCAAGACGCCTGGGCCGGTGGCCTCGGCGGATTATCCAGGCTTCTATAACTGTATCCTTACTTCTATAACGATAGCAAACAGCCCCAAGGAACACCCACTACTGATTCATGCTTCCATAACCATCCATCTATTAGGGCTCGTAAGGTTTAGGGCTTAGAGTTTAGGGTTTAGGGTTTAGGCTTTAAATACCAGCCAAAACATCTAAGTAAAAGCATGGGACAGGGCAAAAGAGCACTAGCCTGGGAGTTCCGGTTTCGAGACAGCAATTACTCTCCCTGGCCCGGGAGGTCAGAAAACGCCAAGTGCCACTCGCCTAGCCTGGTAGTTCCGGATCGAGTAATGAAACATGCAAGATATTCCGGAACTCCCAGGCTAGGCGAGTGAAGGCACTTAAAGTCCCCAGGCTAGTGTTCCAAATCTAGACCGCTCTACCTTGAAATTCCCACATCCGGACTCCTTCGGACCTCCCTCGGGCGCCGCGTTCCTGCTGCTCCAAATGTCCGTGCTCCAACTGCAAATAAGTTTGTCTGGTTCTTAGTAGGGAATGGGGGAATGGATCCCCATGATAGTCCCGTAAGGGTCCCTTAAAGTAGTCCCTATAACCCATTCCCCCGTTTCCCCAAGCCCGAAACCCCAAAACCCAAACCTCAACCCAAAACCCCAAAACCCTAAATCCGAACGAAACCTGAAAACCCTAAACCCTGAACCTGGACACCCTAAATCCCCAAACCCTAGAACCCCCAAAACCCTAAACTCCCCAACTCCTATACCCCAAACACCTCTATCCGAAACCCTAAACCCTAAACCCTAAACCCTAAACCCTAAACCCTAAACACCTAAACCCTAAACCCTAAACCCTAAACCTCTCTACCTATAGTAATTTAAACCTTATAGTCTTCGTGGCTCTTGATCAAAACTCGTGGCTCTTGATCAAAACTCGTGGCTCTTGATCAAAACTCGTGGCTCTTGATCAAAACTCGTGGCTCTTGATCAAAACTCGTGGCTCTTGATCAAAACTCGTGGCTCTTGATCAAAACTCGTGGCTCGTGATCAAAACTCGTGGCTCTTGATCAAAACTCGTGGCTCTTGATCAAAACTCGTGGCTCTTGATCAAAACTCGTGGCTCTTGATCAAAACTCGTGGCTCTTGATCAAAACTCGTGGCTCTTGATCAAAACTCGTGGCGGTTGACGTCCCCCTAGGGTTTAGGGCCTAGGGTTTGGGCCCTAGGGTTTAGGGCCTCGGGTTTGGGCACTAGGGTTTAGGGCCTAGGGTTTGGGCCTAGGGTTTAGGGGTAGGGTTTGGGCACTAGGGTTTAGGGCCTAGGGTTTGGGGCACTAGGGTTTAGGGCCTAGGGTTTGGGCACTAGGGTTTAGGGCCTAGGGTTTGGGCACTAGGGTTTAGGGCCTAGGGTTTGGGCACTAGGGTTTAGGGCCTAGGGTTTGGGCACTAGGGTTTAGGGCTAGGGTTTGGGCACTAGGGTTTAGGGCCTAGGGCTTGGGCACTAGGGTTTGGGGCCTAGGGTTTGGGCACTAGGGTTTAGGGCCTAGGCCCTAGGGTTTAGGGCTAGGGTTTGGGCACTAGGGTTTAGGGCCTAGGGTTCGGGCCCTTGGGCTTGGGCCGATGTGGGCATTAGGGGTTAGGCCTAGGATTGAGGCTGGAACGTTGGTCGACGGTGGCGTGATTCATTGCGTGTTGCATGATCAAGTTGTACAAGGGTGGGGTGGGGATTGTCAATACCTGTAGCATGAGAAAGTTGTACAAAGGTGGGGTGGGGATAGGCTGGAGGATGCACAGCTGCGAACAGGTTGCGAGACAAGCTGCGTGAAGACATGCACTGAAGCACAGGCAGGGCAAGACATGCATGCAAGCAAAAAGCTGCTGTGTTTTTTCACAGATTTGCGCATGCGATTTGTCGGAGCACTGTGAAACTACAGCTCAAGGCTTAAACACACTGCGAACGACACCCCTCGAGTGGACTGCTATCAGAATGGCATGGCAGTCGATATCATGGAAAGTAAAACCGCGGCTGCTGCCTTTACAGATCAGGCATCGAGCAAACCAGAGCAAGTCGAACCGGCAACCTTGCAGCCAAGCTCTTCCTATGGTTTTGCATTCGTCACTGATGGGACGCAGTCCGAAGTTAGCTAGTTGATGCGAAGAGCATAACTATTTGCGACCAGTGCAGTGACCCTTGACATGACGCATAGGCTTTTAGTGCTAGCTGCTGGTAGACAAATCGCAATCACTTTGGCTGCCCATCAAACGATATGGGTCGACGGAGGAGTCCTCGTTGGTCGATGGCTCGAAGCTCGGCTCTTCTGAAGTCGATCCGGTTGGTGAGCTGCCACGTGGTGACTGTGTTTCAGTGCTCGATTCGATGATGTCCATCTCCTCGCTGCTGTGGGTGCTCTCGCTGAACACGGACACCTGGTTCTGCTCCGAGTTATCGTTCTCGCCGTTAACTGCTCGCCAATCTGTGCGGCGAACACGGCCGAGGAGAAAAACGTCTTGTCGACGTTTGGCTCGGGATAAACCAACGTAGCCGTAGCCTCGGTCAGGAAGCCGTCGATCAAACCACAACCCAACCTTGTCCAAAGTGGCTCCCTGGGCGCGTCTTATGGTTGTGGCCCAACCATACGAGACTGGCAGGAACTTACGTCCTTGCTGTGTCACGGGGTGCACCAGAATCGGTAGTCCTTGGTCGGACTGCAGAAGAAAGACATCGGACCTCAGCATGGCTCGAACGGTGCCGGTATTCCCATTCACAAAGCCCCTGTCTTTGTCAATGTTCTGGGTTAAGCGCATCCGCATGCCTGTGCCGTCTCAGATAACTGTCCTGGATTTTTGCCTTGGGAAGACTATGGGTCATCCGTCTCAGATAACTGTCCTGGGATTTTTGCCTTGGGAAGACTATGGGTCATCCGTCTCAGATATCTGTCCTGGGATTGTTGCCTTGGGAAGAATATGGGTCATCCGTCTCAGATAACTGTCCTGGCATTTTTGCCTTGGGAAGACCATGGGTCATCCGTCTCAGATAACTGTCCTGGGATTTTTGCCTTGGGAAGACTATGGGTCATCCGTCTCAGATAACTGTCCTGGGATTTTTGCCTTGGGAAGACTATGGGTCATCCGTCTCAGATAACTGTCCTGGGATTTTTGCCTTGGGAAGACTATGGGTCATCCGTCTCAGATAACTGTCCTGGGATTTTTGCCTTGGGAAGACTATGGGTCATCCGTCTCAGATAACTGTCCTGGGATTTTTGCCTTGGGAAGACTATGGGTCATCCGTCTCAGATAACTGTCCTGGGATTTTTGCCTTGGGAAGACTATGGGTCATCCGTCTCAGATAACTGTCCTGGGATTTTTGCCTTGGGAAGACCATGGGTCATCCGTCTCAGATAACTGTCCTGGGATTTTTGCCTTGGGAAGACTATGGGTCATCCGTCTCAGATAACTGTCCTGGGATTTTTGCCTTGGGAAGACTATGGGTCATCCGTCTCAGATAACTGTCCTGGGATTTTTGCCTTGGGAAGACTATGGGTCATCCGTCTCAGATAACTGTCCTGGGATTTTTGCCTTGGGAAGACTATGGGTCATCCGTCTCAGATAACTGTCCTGGGATTTTTGCCTGGGGAAGACTATGGGTCATCCGTCTCAGATAACTGTCCTGGGATTTTTGCCTTTGGAAGACTATGGGTCATCCGTCTCAAGGCAGCCTTCTTGATGAAGGGTTTGAGCTGGAAGGTCATCGCAAAGAAACTTGACAGCTGAGCTTGCTATCGTCAAGCGATGGCGTGACCGCAGCTTCAACTGTTCGAAGCAATGCTGTCGCTGTGGCAAGTGAATGTATTGCAGTGGACACAGTTCGATGTCAAACACTGAAAGACATGAAGTACAATAGCTGTGGTTGCTATCGTAAAGCGATGTCGTTGGCGCAACTTCAACTAGTTTGAACGGCTTCTTATCCATCGACAAAACCAGGTTTTAGAGTTCAGTGTACTCTCAAGAATGAACATCCGGTGGGCCTTGCTTTGTTGTGGATCGATAGTTGAGGAGATGCAAGTCATGACATTTGACAGCTATGGTTGCTATCGTAAAGCGATGGCGTGACCGCAGCTTCGGCGGGTTAGGGCGATGTTGCGTTTCTTAACTAGCTCTCTTACAAAGCTGGTCGGCAGCATTAACTCTTAAAGTGAAGCGTGTTGCAAGAACGACTGTAAAGAAACAGCACTTGCTTGATCGAAGGAGTGGAAAGTTACGATCTGTAATAGTTGTATGTAAGTGATCTTTTAAAGATTCAAGCCAAAAGAAATAAAACTCTTAAATCTAATGTAATGGGATTCTGTGGGCGGGTGGGATTTCTTCTAGAAGATAGCTTGACTAGAAATAGCCTGACATGAAATGTTCAAAGTCAGAGCTGCTGAACCCTAAACCCTAAACCCTAAACCTATCCGAAACCTTACAACCCTAAAGCCCCAAACCCCCGAACCCCCAAACCCCGAAACCTTAACCCCTTAATTCCTAACACCCAAGCCCAAAAACCCCCAAAGTCCAAGCCCCAACCCTCAACTCCAAAGCCTGAAATCCGAAAGAAGCTTTTACTAAGCCCTAAAGCCCTGACACCCTAACTCCCAAACCCTAAACCCCAAAACCCCTAAAGCAGGAGAGGGAAGCTGTCAATCTATGACCGGTCGCTGCAGAAGACGAGGATCCGCACCACAAGGTTTAGGGCTGTGGGGCTTTGAGGTGTTACATAACCCCACTTACAACTGCCCATGAACCTCCAAGTAGGGGTGTGGGGGTGGGGGATTCGGCAGTTGCTGGGGGCTGGTTTTCTTGTTGTAGGAATTTAAAAGCAGGCCGCGGACCGCGGAGGTGAAGAGAGCTGTTCGTGTTTAGGGTTTAGGGTCTTAGGGTTTAGGGTCAGGCACAAGTTGTCCATATCAAAGCCTGCTCGCACGCAAAGGCCAAGCGACAGAGAAGCCGCAAGACAGAGCCAACATCAGTTGTAGCATTTGTGTTTTGGGGCCCAATATACCATAGTTATAATAATAAGGAACCCCCAAAATAGTGTAGGTAATTATTGAGGCCCCTATATTAAAAACCCTAAACCCTAAACCCTATAAACCCTCCACCCTAAACCGCCAGGAACGAGGTCAGCCTCTCTGCGTTCGGCTTCCTCTTTGCCGAGGTCGTGGAGTACAACCTGAAGAAGGCTTCCGTTGTCTGCGATCTCCCTTGTAATCGCTCCTTTTTTTGCTCTTGGTTTCGTGTTCTTAATTTCTGTTGTAGTAAAAATCCCAGGAAGTTTTTGACGACACTGTGGGTGAATCGTATGTATTAGGGTTCCCTAATCGATGGCATAGCATATAGCCTAAACCACCGTTGAACCCTAAACCGAGCTTTCAATCTTGCCACTCTTGATGCCTGAACACCAAATCCTGCTCCAGGCCGCCGTCATGCACGACCTCGAGGACGATTCTGTTCGGTTTAGGTTTGGAGTAAGGTTTTGGGGTTTGCGGTTTCGGGTTTTGGGGGAGTCTTACCGTCTTACCCACTTACTTATATCAAGATAGCCGGCTAGGAAGTCCGATCGATAGATTGTTAGATGGATGCATCGGGCGGTCTTCCCCCCCCCCCCCAAACGCCCAAAGCCTACATCCGTAAGCCTTGAAGCCTTAAGCCCTCAACCCTAAACCCCGACCCCTAGACCCCTGACCAAAAGCCCGAAGCCCTAAACCCACAACATGAAAGCCTAGAGCTCTGAAGGGAGCTGATTCACAGAGGGCTGAGGGTTTAGGTTAAGAGCTTAGGTTTTTCAACAAATTTCGAGGGGATCTCAAACGGACTTGGAAGGGGCTTTGGAAAGGCTTGTAGACGTGGCTCGTACGGATTTCACAAGGGATTTCCAAGGGTCCGGATTTAATTCGGCTGCAGGCTCTCGGCTTTCGGGGTGTTGGGGCTTTGGTAGGGCCTTCGGGCCTCAGGGCAGTTGTTTGAAGGTTTAGGGCTTGCGAGCGCTTAAGGCTTTCAGGCTTTGCGACGAATGGTTCAAAGGGTTAGGATTTATGTGCTTTGGGGCTGTTGGGCCTCGGCTTCAGGATGTTTAGGGTTTCGAGCTTGTACGGTTTGGGTGTTTTAGGTGTCTATGAGAGGCTCGGGCGAAGAGTTCCTGACCTCCTTGCTGCTTGGCTTCGGGGCCTTGGGCTTCGACTTCCTGGCCTTTTGGCTTCTTTTTCCTTGGCCTTGCGGCTTCTTGGATTGTCGCTTCTTGGTTTTTGGCTTCTTGCTGTTTTGGTTTCTTTGCATCTTGGCTCTGTGGCCTCATGGCTGTTACTGGTCTTGGCTTCTTGGCCGGGTTATGAGATTTGATGTCAACTCGCTTGGAGGCTCAGGGGACTTAGTATGTAGGAGCAGGCTCTCAACCCCATAGCTCTAAGGCCCGAACCCGTAACTTTGAAGCCCTAAACCAGTAGCAACTCAGAGTCCTAAAAGCCCTGCATCCTAAACCCTGTAACCCGAAACCCTATACCTGAGAACCCTAAATCCTAAACCCTAAAGCCCAAGCCCTGAATCCTAAACCTCACACCCTAGAACCCTAGAGCCCGAAACCCCCCAAACCTAAACCCTAGAATCCTAAACCCTAGAACCGTCAGCCCTACAAAGCTACAACCCCAAACCCCAAACCCTGAACCCTAAACCTCGCACCCGGAGCCCCAAACCCTAAACCCTAGAACCCTAAACCCTAGATCCCTAAACCCTAGAACCCTTATACAACCCTACGTCCCTAAACCCTAGATCCCTCAACCCTAGAATCCTCAACCTCTACATCCCTAAACCCTAGAACCCTAAACCCTAGATCCCTAAACCCTAGAACCCTAACCCTAGATCCCTAAACCCTAGAACCCCTAATCGCTGCCTTCCGTCTTCGAGCAGCCATGGTCGTATGGCCCTCTGCCGCTCTCGACTCTCTGCTGCTGCGGCCGGGGGTTCAGGGTCCACGTTAACCCCAAATAGGGTTTGGGTGCTAGGGTTAGGGTTTTGGGTTTAGGGTTCCAGGGTTTAGAGTTTAGGTGCTAGGGTTAGGGTTTAGGGTTTAGGGTTCCATTGTTTAGAGTTTTAGGGTTTAGGGTTCCAGGGCTAGGGTATAGGGTTTAGGTTCTAGGGTTAGGGTTTAGGGTTTAGGCTCCAGGGTTCGGGTTTAGGGTTTAGGGTTTTAGGGTTAGGGTTCGGGTTTAAATGACGGACCATTTTCAGGGCTTATGTAAAGAAACCATAACAAGGAACCCGAAAGGGGTAGGTTATTTGGGGTCCAGGTAGGGTGAAAAGGGCCCAGAGAGCCCAATACCCCATAATTAAAGAATATGGCTTAAATTATATAGGGCTTCATATGATGATTTAAGCTATATTCCTTATTTAAGGGGTATTGGGCTCTCTGGGGTTATCCGCTAGGACAATTGTTTCGGGTCTCTGGTCTGCGGCTGGTGAAGTGGGAGTTGAGGCATTGGGTCTTTTCTCGACAATGAAACCCCCAAAAAGGGCAAAACCATGTCATAGTCCCTGAACCCCAAACCCTAAACCCCAAACCCAAAACCGTCAACATCCCCAAACCTCACCCTGAGGGTCCAAAGGACCCAGTAATTAGGTATAGTAGTTATGTAGGTTAGGATTTTGAGGAGTATATTTTTATTGGGTACTTGGGTCATAATAATCCTGAACTAGGGGCCCTTAATGCCCATAATAAGGACTTAGTAAGGGCTATTTAAGGAAGTAAAGTCCCCTACCCCCCCTCCCCCCTACCCCCCTATGAC